CAACCTGCTAATATTTTATTTGAACCTTGAACCTTGCTTCTTTGTTCATAAGTGAAATGGTTGGAGTTTTTTACTTGTCCTTGATCAGTTTTCTTAAAAAATTAGGTGGGTCTTGTAAAGTAAGTTAGGTAAAAGTATTTGGTGAGGTACTAAATCTAAAATATGTAGGTAGATCTTTCTTCCTAATTCTCCTTCCTCCCCAGTTTGGGACTTTCAGAAGCTAGGCCCAGGGCAGGGCCCCTTACTCAGGACTACCCTTGCCCATCCCCCAAAACACACATATCCCAAAGTGCCCTTTTTCGAACCCCAATGTGGGGATAATTCCTAGGATTATCCTACTGTTGAGTCTACTGGTGCTGATGGTCAGAGCATGTTAATGATTTAACTCAAATACAACTAAGAGACAGTATTAAGTCACTGAGGATGAAAATCAGTAGCCCTGGACGAGAGCCTTAACCACCGTGAGCCTCAATTTCCTTAAATGTCAAAACTACTAATATATAACTTACGAGTTTGAGAAGTTCATGATAAAAGGTACGAAAAAGCTACCAGTACAATGCCTGACACAAAACAGGTATTAATAAGTTTTAGCTATAACCATGATGCTATCGCTAACTGCTTCGATGACACCTTGAAAAGCGGGTGGGCAGCGGGCCAAATCTTTTGGTCCCACCGCCTGGGGTTCGGGTCTCCTTCTAGGGTGAAAATGGCGGTAGTACTAACACGTACCCCACTGAGGGGCGACGGCCTAACCGGATTAACGGCGGTGAGCGCCAGGAACCAACCCTGGCTCGCGAGCCCACAATTAATGGCTGTTTTTATGACCGCTGTTTACTTTCTACCGCCCCACGGGTAGGAGAGCGACGGGCTGTGTGACCGCCCGCCACGCCCCTGAACTTGGAGGGGCCTGCGCCTCCTCCCGGGCCAACCTGAGGCGAACGATGGGCCACCGGGCCGGAACACAACGGCGGAAAGTCGCCACAAGCGCCGCGCCGCCGGGACCGAAACGCCTGCCCTGCGCCCAGGAGTAGCACGTGCAGAGCCCGCTCGAGGCCCCGCCTCCTCTCTGGGGTCGCGGCTCGGGATTGGCTCAGAGGCGGCGCGGGCTCTGATTGGCCGAAGGAGCGACGGGGTGACTTCGCCTTCCGGGCTGTGTTCCGCCGGGGTCGCGACCCTTGGGGGGCTACTGGGAGGGCGCTACCCGTCTGCGGGCGCCCCCAGGCCGCTGCGAGTTCCTCCGAGCGGCGTCCAGGCCGCGTCTGCAGCGCGCGGTGGCCCGCGGGTGGGCGGGGCCCTGCACCGGCGGTGCCTTTAAAGTAGGACTCGTCAGAGCCGAGACTGCGGACTAACGTGGGAATTGATGGTTATGGGTTCTGCCTTGAGGCTCGTATGTGTTGTAAATGTCGATGGAGTCAGAGAGGGAAGCTGCTCCAGTTAACATTGAATTCTTAGTGTGGAAAGGTGAAGACACTTGAGTCGTAGGTGTCTTCTTTCCTTACCGGGCCAAAGGGCCTTTATTTTGGCCCTGTGTACTTCCATTTGAGCAGTCGGTTGTGGAATTAAAAAAAAAAAAAAAAAAAAAAAATCAGTTATTTGAAAGTGCATAGTGAAGGAAACAATAAAAAGAAAAAGAAGGAATTCTTGGAGGCTTGCCTTTTTTTTTTTTTTAACCTTGAAGAGTTTCCATTTCTAAATCGTGGCAAGAGAGAATGTATGAGAGATCTGACCTACAAACATATACCAAAACTTACCCTTTTCTGTATGTTTTGTTATTCACTAGTGAGAGTAAAAGATTCCAAATGAAAATAACTTTAGGATGAGGCCTAACACAAATTTATTACAAATGGAAACTTACTGCAAATACTAGAGGCAAAACGTGCCTAGCATGGAATGTTGAAGGCCCTGTGATGTACCTAATATTCTTGTCCATTTTAAGCAGGAAAAAAAATCAAGGTGAAGAAAAT